TGCTAGGATGAGCATCAAGATGCTCAAGGAGGAGCTGGCTAGGGAAGGCATCGACTTCTCTCGGTGTGTCGAGAAGTCGGAATTGGTGGAGATGGTAAGGGAGGCTCGGCAGGCTGCTACTTCCCGAAGGAGGCAGTCGACCTCGGCTAAGGGCTCGCCGGCTGCCTCGAGCCAGCGACAGGAAGTCCGCCCTCCTCGTAGGTCGTTACGGCTTAGCCAGGCGGCGGCCGTGCTGTCACAGCAACCGAAGGCTGTGTTGAAGTCCCAGTTGATGGTGGAGTTGGAGAGGATAGAGAGGTTACCCCAGTCTACGGGGCCGATGCAGATACTCGGCTTGACGAGGCCACCGAGTAGTGTTGGGGAGGTGAAGAAGAAGCTCCGGGCCCTTAGTAAAGTAGTCCATCCTGATAAGACCGCCAATGAGCCTCACCTGAGGGGTAGGGCTGGTGAGGCATTCCAACGGATGAACTCCGCGGCCCAGGAGGTTATCAAGTTACTCGAGAAAGGGGCGGCTACTGCTGCCCCTCCAGGAAGAGTCCAACAATTGACTTACCGAATGGAAGGTGAAGTGTTGATAGTCCAATGGCGACCACCTGCCGACGTCAATAGGAGGGCAGTGAGCTCCTATCGAGTCGTGGCCTCGGCCCCCGGTACTACTCCTATTGAGCAGGGTCTTGTTAGTGCCCAAGGGTCTACTACCGATGATGGATGGGTTGAATGTGCGATATCATCACAGGGCCGGAGGGGTAATGACATTCTATTCCACAAGCAACACTTCCAAGTGTCGGTGAATGCAAGTAACCCTAGTGGGCCTGGGCCCACTGCTCACTTGCATGTATATACTAACAACAGCAAGAGGCCACCCTCCAGGATCCCTCCTCCTCCCCCCTTGGAAAGCTCGAGACGAGGCAACACCAGTCACACCGCTGCGGCTCGGTCCCATGGCCTTGGCGGACTCCGTCGTCACAATACAGTATTTTGAGGAGGCATGTATCTGTACGTATCATAACTGTCATCACCTACTACTACTACTTCTGACAATGTAATACTACTATCAACGTTTGCATCGCTCCTCTTCCGTTGAGCACATATCAATGGTGAGGTTCCTCTTAGAATTTAGTGTTGATTCAAGATGGATATCTTCCCGGCCATCGTTCAGCTACGCACCATGTCCTGGGTGCCATGGGCCCTGTCTAGTGCCATGGCCTTCATCGCTGTCACTGGGGTACTCTTCGCTACTACTACTACATCAGGAAAGGAGAGTCCTGAGCCTCTCGCTGTGAGACGAAGTGCTCGCTTGAGGGAACGCAAGGTGAGGGGCTTCAAACCTGTTGGCGGCACCATTGGACTGTAGGACCTCAGTGGAGTTGATGCTGCCCTTGAGGAGGTCCAAGCCGATCCCAGTAGTATCCCTTGGGACGGGTCTGTCATATAGTCGCGTCCATCCTCAGGGGCCAGAAGGACAGCGATCAACTACCTGATAGTGACCATGTCCATTGCTATGTTCATGATGGTGAGAGAGGAGTAGGCGCCTTGATATCATTTGATGTCTACTCGCTGCAGTTGTCTGCCCTCCTCGTGGTGGTAACCTTGCCTGAGACATGGGCCTCCCTCGGGCCCTCCTCATCTAAGCTGACGTCTTGGTCCCCATTCAAAACCAGCATTAACGAATTGTGAAGAACTGATGCATGCTTAGATTGCCTCGGTCGAGACCTTGGGTTTTGGCCTGTCTGAGGGGGCTCAGTTGGTTCCTTCCCTCTCCTATGGATTTGTTCTCACTCGCTGTGTCGGGCTTCAAAGCCGTCCAGACAGTCCACACATGCTATGCTAAGGCGAAGGAGCTGCACACGTTGGCCACTAAGGAGATAGCGGTTAGTGTGGAGAAGCTGGCTGCTGCTTTACAGTGCCTACAGCTCCGCTACGGCTCGCACAGTTGGACCAAAAGTGTGGTATCGATTCCCTCTACTCCTTATTCCAGTTGCTGCATACGAGGATGCCTACCAGTGAAGCTGTGAGCGCCTCTGTAGGGTTGGCACGTCAGGCTGTACGTGAGGCTGAGGAACTCATCGACACTCTCATGGTAGTAGTCCGACCAGCTGCCCATTCACCAACCATGTCCCTCAGTCGCTCGAGAGTACCGATGACGGCGCCAAAGATGCCTCCCTAAGGAGGAGGTCGGTGTTGGTGTCATTGGAGCTGAGGAGCAGGCTCGGCGTTTGAGGGATGTCATTGCAGATGTAAGCAGCAGCATAAGGTACCTCGTGAGGGGACTATGCAGTAGTAGGTCTCCCTGGCAGCGCAGATGTTGACCCTTGGCCTCACCGCGGTCCGTGCTGCACTTCCGGTCACTGAAGGAATGGAGACCATCATAGGCCGTTGGGACTTTGACAACCTTGCGTACTCTCACACTACTGCAAGTAGAGAAAACTGGAGTCTGTCAGGTTTTCAGAGGCTCTCACTGTGATGAGGCAACTGGACATGGGCCGAACCTCGAGCCGTGGGACACTTCTGGCCACTGGCCAGCTATGGAAGTGGCGACCAGGAGCTTCGACAGCGACTAAGTGAGGCAGGGGGCGCAACCGGTATCTCCCCATGCTCACTCAGGCACAAGCTGCTGTTGGAGCCGCAGTTTTTCTGTTCGGCTAGGCTAGCACTGAGTGGTAAGGAGGAGGAGGTCCTTGCTACGCTGACCCTTGCTCCGATAGAGGATGCCAGTGAGCCCAGCGACGTCGCCGAGACCATACAAGTGGTGGGTTAATGGTGCCGAAGGAAGCGGCTGGGGAATGTGCGATACAGGTCCTCACTGAGGAAGGTCTCCATGACTTCCGCATAAGGCTCCCAGATGTCTCCTCGGGGGCACTATCCTTGCTGGCCACCACCGACAACACCAATGACGATGTTCTCGAGCGCTCATTGTGCTTCATGTGGACCGATGAGGAGAGTAAGCAGCGCTTTCCCCTGGCCCTTTAGGTACCTGTTGTAGGTACATGCCGGTACGCATTCGAGTTCGAGTGCTGCGGGTCGGCCAAGATGACAGCGGAGGTGTTCGAGATGGCCCTCTACCTGTCCATGGCTCGCAACTCGATGGAGCATCCGGACTTGGGCATAGACCAAATGGAGGAGGAGGAGCTCCGCAGCTTCGTCCTGGATCGTCTGAAAGTTGTCGAACCACCTGGTCGTGCCCGGCGGGGTAGTCTCTTGCCAGCAGTGACTCCCGCCAAGTGAAGTTTCTCATGTGATACGCTATTTGTTGGTTTGTAAATGCACTGAGTGGCATCTTAGGATGCATATGGGAGTCTTGTGTGGCCAGGGTGGGAGGATGTGCACATGGTCAACTACATGTGTTGGTGACAGTATGAAATTTTTGATAGAATTTTGGGATATTCTTGTTGGTTTCTGTACAATTCCATTCGAATTTGTGTGTGAACTTGTATAGGTAGCGAGTAAACTCTCGAGCTCAGCTGAGCGAAGCGAACAAATATTCCAACAACTACTTCCACAAGAGACAGTCATTACTCTCAGCACCATGACAACCCCAGCATCTGGTGAGCCTCTGAAGATCGACTCCATGGTCGGAGGAGCAGACCCCCCTGTCTTCATCGAGGAGGCTACATTGGCCTACTGTGTCGGGAAGGTCCTGTGCGTGTGGGACACTGACACCGACGAATGCAAGTATTGTCGTATGCCACTGGACCAGGAGGGCTCACAGCAGCTCTATGGCTCGGGCCAGGGACAGCTGGTCCTGTCCACTGAGGCCTGTGACGGCGCTATCAAGGTGAGGCTTCATATGAGCCCCATCGTTTCCTCTTTCAACCAGGTCCTCATCTATCCGCTAGAAGCTGAGGGTCTCGGCATAGCAACCGAAATGACGGTACCGGTCGGTGAGGGTTGCAAGGGCCCTACTGCTGTGGCAATGTCCCCATGCTGTACGAGGGTCTTTGTGATGGTCGGCGGTCCAGAAGAGCAGTACTTGGCAGTGTATAGCACAGATACCTGCAAGGTACCCTTGAGGGCTACTACTGGGCTGCCCATGCATGCATAGTAGGCCCTTCCTGGTCTCGAGTGGATCCAGCTACCCTCGGCATACCCGACGCAGAGGTTCTCACGACTGTTGCCATTCCCCGAGTGAGCCTCTGCATCACCGTGTTGGTCCCGGAAGGTCTAGTGGTCAGGCACAAGGACCTGCTGGCTGTTGTAGGGGAACAGGAAGTACTCATCGTCTCGTTTGAAAAAACGTAGGTCCACTGACACCAACAGAGTGGTATGCCTCGGAGGTCAGCGCATATGCAGATACCAAACCTTTCTAGTAAGCCAGTATGCAAGCGACACTGTGTCTGCTATCGTGGCCGCTCATCAAGGAAGCATAGCATGGACCCTGTCAGCTGCTACCTGGTGCTCCTCAGTGAGTCACCTGGGCCCTTCTTCCTCGAGGGTCCTTCTGTTCCCAGGGCCATCTGCTGGTGGCCACGTCGACGGGCCTTTTGCTGTGCCTTTCCATCGAGCAATCCAAGGCACCGCCGACCAAAGAGGAACGTCAACGGCTCATAGGAAGGTATGAGCAGCTCATCTCGGTCCACTCCGTCACTGACATGGCGGACCTCGGCCCCATACGCCATATGTTCTTCCGTGGCCATGAGACTCTTATCGCTGTTCACATGAACAGCCGAGTCAGCTCATGGGCCTTCGACAAGGGCCACATATATGAGCCGATCAGTGCCGACCACTTTGAGATACAGGCCGTTTCGCACTATGAGGGGACCTCTCTGGATGATCCGCTGGTGCTGGTGAAGTCATCTGTTTTGTCGGAGCTCACCGAGGAGCAGCAGGGTCAATTGAAATGGGCCGTGTCTTCGCCCCAAGGGCAGACACTCTGGGTTTGCACCCTGGATGGTCACCTCTGGTCCGCTAATATGATAACTGAGGAAGTCGACACGTTAAAGGACTGTATCGACAGTGGCGCCCCAGAGGTGGGGGATGATCAGGCCTGTCCGCTTCCCTTGGCTTACCGGGGTTCTACTCTTTGCGGGGCCCTAGACTGTATCACTGATATAAAGGTCCTGTGTGGCCACCCAGAGAGCCCTACCTTTCTTGTTGCGACTTCCAGTGGGGCTGTTCGCCTCGTTGGGCCCAGTCCTAGTGAGCTCGATGGTCTGCCACGAACTATGTATCTCCAAACCAGTCACGCGCCCATAAATTGTCTTGCTGTGTCGGCAACCTGTCGTTTGGTAGTGGCAGGGAGCGAAAATGGCGTTGTCCAGACCGTGGACCTCGGCGCCGGCCCTTCGGCGGTCCTGAACGCCTCTAGAGGCCTCGAGAGCTCCGCTGTCAAACTTAGTGAGGAGGCGCCAGTGGTCGATGTGAGTCTCACGAAGTTGCCATGTGGCCGAGAAGTGTGTTATGCCCGACTTGATAATGGTGACGTTTTCCTCCTCACTGTTCGCGAGAAGACCGGCCTCCTCACTGTAGTCTCCCACCTCAACCGTATCGAAGTCTTCGCCGGCGCCCTAGGGGGCCAGGAGGTATCGGCAGCCTGTTGGTGTGATCACAGACTGGCCCTCGCGGTAACTAGTGCTCATGGTACAGCGGTTCTCACAGTCTCATTCACGATCGATAGGATGATGGATGGTCTCCTCGACCCGAGTGGGGTTACAGTGGCAACGCATCAGCTTCCTAGTGCGTCCAAGGTCAGGGCCATGGTCTCTTGTAGCCTGGGTCTAATCGCTGGTAACGTCGTTGGGGAAGTAGCCCTGTACTCCCTACCCTCGGAGCTGTCCTCCAACCTCGGTGAGCTCCCTCTAGTGAGGATACTATATCATGGCAATAGGCCTATCAGTAGGCTGTCCATGGACGGTGTTTTCGTGGTAGCAGCAACCTCTGATGGTTCCGTTCATGCGCTCTCCCTCGCTAACGGCCACACCTCTACTGTGGAGGATCTCCATACCAAACGCGGTGGGGTCACGGCAGTTGCTGTTTCTGGTCAAAGGGTTGCATCCGGTCGAGGAAGGTGTGGGTTGGCCCTCTGGTACCTACCCGAGAAGGCTGGGACCACAGTTTCCCCCTCCGTTTGCTTCACGAAGATGGCGATGGTCCCAAGAGACGCATCACCAACAGGCGTGCAGCCGGCTGGAGTCGTGAACGATGATGAGCTGGAGGTGTGGAGCATTGGGGGCCACCGGAGGCAAATGGACGAGGCCGTGGCGGTCCGAAGGAGCTTGGACGGTCGAGAGGCCCAGCGGGTCCAACTAGTTCACGAGGTACAGGCTAAGATGGCTCAGCTGCGGGAGAGGTTGAAGTCGATCGTCGAGAAGAATCAATCCGGGCCCGAGGAGGAAAGACTTGAAAGGGACGAATTTTGTGTTGACTTCGAGGCGCGTGAGGAGGTAGCTCTGGAATGCGAACGCAAGTCACATGAGCTGAGGGAAAAATTGAAGGTGAGTGAATGGCCATCCACGGGTGTAGTGTGTCGGTCGTCGTAGGAGGAGATAGCGGCCAGGGCGGTCTTTCGAGAGCAACTTGTGAAGGAGTTCTGGGAGCCGATGGGAGTCCACATGGCCCAGTTACACTGCATTGAGGAGGGCAAGGCTCTGAGGGTGGCCAACTACCCCTTTCGCTCCTCCACGTCTGCAGCAGACAGCGGCAATCCTCTGCTGAGGAAGCTTCGGGTAGCACTGCCCAGTTTGGGTGGTGATGGTGACAGCATGTGGGGTCAGGTCCTTCGGGACGTCCAGGCTCGGGAGTCGATGTGGCTCACTGGATGTTCACTCCTCGTCGAGGATGATGCCCTCAGCCCCTTCCGCGTGTGTAGCGGCCAGGAGGACTACC